ATACGCCACCATATATATATATATGGTGGTTACTTCGGCGCACTCACTTTTTGGGTGCACTCAGTGCACCCGCTTCATAATTGTCATTCTGACCATGCGATTCATGTCAAAACGGTATCAATTGTTGTTTATGATATTATGAACAAGAAGCACATGAATTTGAAAAAAAATCCATTCAAAATTTACTTTAATTTGAAGGATTTAGGGATTTAGGGTTAGGGTTTAGGTTTACAATTTGGGATTTTGAGTTGGGATTCAAAATTGAAGGTTAAGGGGTTCGGGTAATGGATTGATTTGTTATGATTCTATGTCATATCATCATAATATATTAAGAGTACTAATTAAAGTTCAAAATTTGATATATTACGGATGCTTTTAAAGTTGGGTGCACTGAGTGCACCCAAAAAAGTGAGTGCACCGAAGTAGCCACCATATATATTACCATATATATATATATATATACACACGCACATAGATAACTGATTAATTGGTGTGTCTTGAACCACACCAAACCACTTAAATTGAATTACCTTAGAAAATTAACCAAACAAAACCAATTTAACCAAATGTTATTGGCCAAAATGGATACCATAATTTTTCATCTGTTTGAACAACCCTAATGGTTGGTGTCTGCCATCGTTACATGTCATTCTCTTGGGGGTTCCCTAGCCCCACTCTTGTTCGATATTAGTACAAAGGGATTTTCTAGTATGCTTTTGCAGGCAATGGATGTTGGGATGTTTCGGTGGCCTTCAAAACAAAGAGCATTGTCTAATCACATCTCACTTGCATTTTCTGAATAATTCATACCATTTTTTATCTAGGCTTCTGATCAGGAGTCTTTGTGGAACAATTTGTACCTTAGGGTTGCATGTTTTTCTTATGAAAATTTGTCGCCGGGTGACAAAAAGTATGTGCTAGCTCTTGAATGAGCAATTTAGCCTAGCTCTTATGAAGATGTTACAGAGGAAGAGTGTTGGAATGAAACTATGAAACTAGTCCATAAACCAACCCACAAACATACCATTGGGAACAAATGGATGTTCAAGATAAAACTTAATCTAAATGGATGTATTGAACTGCATAAAGAGAGGGTTGTGGCTAAGGGTTTCATCCAAATTTATGGTATTGACTTCTTTGATACCTATTCTCTCGTTGCAAAATTAAACTCGGTTAAAACACTTCTTGTTGTGACAGTAACTATGACAATTTGTTTCGACTTGATGTGGGCATTGTCTTCCTCAATAGGGATCTCCATGAATAATTTTATATGGATCTTCCTCCTAGTTTCTCTCAACCATGAAATAAGTCACTTTATGGACCGAAACATGCGTCTCGACAATGGTTTTCCAACCTTACCTCTACTATCTTGAGCTTTAATTAAACACACAATATCATCCTTGCGGGTGATGATCTTCCTGCCATTGTAGTTCTCAAACTACCATATCACTTGGAGTATGATATACTTAGTGTAGATATATTCTTTGTGGGGTGAGTATGAATATGAGTATGGGACGAGGATTTAATACCACATCTGCTCCATCCCAATAAATTTTTTAAGGGTTTTACTCATGTCCACCTCATACCAAGTCAGTGTGGGAATTCCTTGCATTGATAGGATCGGGGGACTGTCGGGTACCCACTATCACGAGTTTAATTGCCATCACTACTGCCTATTACATTTTGTTAGGAAAGTTTCTCATCGCTTACAAATCTAAGAAACAAGGAACAATGTCTTATTCCTCCTCAGAAGTAAAGTACATGGCCCTTGCTCAACATATGTGTGAAGTAGCTCGGGCTAAGAGGCATCTAGAGGAACTTAATATTGAACATTTGCAACATGCGGAGCTCTTGTGCAACAATCGATCAACTATATATATATATAGTTGAAAATCTAGTGTTTGATGAAAAATCAAAGCAATTGTAATCGACTGTCATGCATTTCGTCAATATCTTCAGTCGTAGATAATTTCACTCAACCACCTTAATACAAAGAATCAAATTGTGGGCTTATTTACAAATGGGTTTAGCAAAGATTGGTGTGCTCCTGCAAGAAATCTTCCATCTTCTTGAAGTCGTTGATGTGTCTCAGGTTGTGTTCTTGGGTAGAGTTCGAAACAGAGCGGCTCATTGTGTGGCCCGTAAAGCTCTAAGTATGTCGCCTCAAGTGTTTTCGAGGTTCGACTTCTGTTCTTGGCTTCGTTCGAGGGATGTTTCAGCCCTCTTGCTACAATGTATCTGAACGATTTCCTCTTATAAAGAGTGATCTATTGGGAAAAAAAATTACTTGTGATCCAAGCTGAACATACAAAATATGTATGCTTAACTTGAGGGACGTAGCAAAGAAGATGACGCTAATGATGAAATGAAGATTCAAACTATGCTCGACGCTATCAGACTATTGATCCGAAGTCACTTGTCCACGCAACAAGTGAACAGTAGAGAACAAAACAATGTCGTTCAACCTAGCACCAAGCTCTCTTTCATAATATACTGTAAACAATAGATTAGCTTATATAGACTAGTGATGACGGGTGATGTATACATGTTCCCTCTGTGGCCAAAAGTAGAGGTGGCACGTGAGTGGTTAATCCGCGGTTTGACATCGATCCACCCGCAAATAAATCAAACCGTAGTGGGTGGGTGGATTGTGGATTTGTAAATCTCTTACCCGCACTTATTCAAACTGGTGGTGGGTGGATTGTGGGACACCCGAATGACCTGCACTCTATTTTCACTTGACAAATGATTGTTTCTTATACTAAAGAATAGTCATCGTATTTCCTAACCGCACTACACACCGACTATCTACTCCTAAGGATAAAGAATATATCTGTTATTGGTTATTAAGTTTTCTCTATACAATTGGTTGATGGAGTAATGAAACTTTTGATGCAAATAATATTAAGATCCACAAAAGACAAAGAGGAAAGTGTATAAATTGATAGAGTCTTACGAAGTTACGAAGAACTTATTATTAAGTGTTAGTCAACTTTCTTAATTATTAGTTGATAAATTATTTTGCGGACTGACCCACAATCCAACCGCACCATTCTGTTCCCATCCAATCCAACATGAAAAAGAATGTGTGGGGATTGCGGGTCACAATTATACCAACTTACTAGTAAACGGGTAGGTCAATTTGAAATCAAAACACGCCAACCTCCCTATTGCCCATCCTACCCAAAAGCCGCTCTTAGACTATCTCCAATGGTGGTGCTAGAGAGCAAGAGGTAGTTTTGCTCTTTGGCACTCAAAAGTGGTATATGCTCCATTGGCATCCTAAAGAGAAAGACTTTAATTTTTGTGTTAATGTTGTTTAGAGTAGATTTCATAATGTTAATTAGATAGTTTGTAGATTATTTTAATATAGGTAGTCATAATTAATTAAGATGAACATTTCGATTCAATTTTTTTTATATTGACATACAAAAAATTATGGTTAAATATGACATCAAACACCTAGCTCATTAAAATAAACGGGTTAAAGACACATTTGGTCACTGAGATTACAAAATCGGGACATGTTTCGTCACTAGAAAAAGTTAATATCAAATTTGGTCACTACAATTACTAAAACTGGACGCATTTAGTCACTCGCCGTTAGTCTCCGTCCAACTCCGTTAATGAAGTCCGTTAAGTGCTGATGTGGCAAACAGAATTGCCTAATCAGCCGGATATTAACCCAACAAAAATAAAACCCGACCTGCCACGTCATTATAACCCGCCACCTCATTAAAACAAACCCATCCCAACCCATGACCCAACCCTACCCAACCCTTCTTCCTCCTTCCTCCCCAACCCAATTTAGGGTTTTCCCCCATCCCATCCAAATTCGCTGGGCGGGGAGAAGATCTCTCCGCCATTAATCTGCCGCCCTTCCTTCATCTTCTTCCTCTGTCATTCCCAATTCCAAAAAAATCTTATTTCAACTCTTATCATTCTTTTCTTTTCCATTGATTCAATGGCGATTTCATCCGGATACGGGTTTTCTTGCGGGGGGAGAGAGAGAGAGAGAAGGAGGGGGGGGAGAGAGCAACCGCCAACCATCTCTGCATAAGTCTCTGTTCTTCTTTGTCTGGGTTGAATCTTCGTTTTCCGGAATTTGGAGAGGGCTTTAGTTCTGGGTTTCGATATTTCATCTGGGTAATTGAGTTTCAAGTAAAAGGAGGAATCTTTGGATTTGGGTTCGGGTCAACTCAGTCAACAGTTGGCTCAGCGACGACATAATTGACAAGAATTCCTTCCCAATCTGAAGCTTTGTGAGATATTTTTTGACTTGCAAAGTTTTGGAGTTTTCATAAGCAAAAAACATGAGTTGGAAGAACAGAGGATTCGAGCAAAATTCGAAGAGTGTGGTGTCAAGGAAATGGTCTTTGCTCCTTTGCATTGGTTGTTTCTGTGCAGGGATGCTCTTCTCAGACAGATAAAGTTTCTTCTTCTTTTTTCGGAATTGAAGCTTTCTGCTACTTCTGAATTAGGCATCTCACTGAAGTCGGAAATGGGGTACTGGGTAATTTGTTGGGGTGGAGATGGATGGGATGGGGAAAACCCTAAATTGGGTTGGGGAGGAAGGAGGGAGAAGGGTTGGGTAGGGTTGAGTCATGGGTTGGGTTGGGTTTGTTTTAATGAGGTGGCGGGTTATAATGACGTGGCGGGTCGGGTTTTATTTTTGTTGGATTAATATTCGGCTGATTAGGCAATTCTGTTTGCCACATCAGCACTTAACGGACTTCATTAACGGAGTTGGACGGAGACTAACGACGAGTGACTAAATGCGTCCAGTTTTAGTAATTGTAGTGACCAAATTTGATATTAACTTTTTCTAGTGACTAAACATGTCCCGATTTTGTAATCTCAGTGACCAAATGTGTCTTTAACCCTAAAATAAACATTTCGATCTAATTTTTTTAATTTGATATATTTTCGTCTTTAAATATAACGATATAATAACAAAAAATACAACAATGAATTAAGATAACCATAACTTCATCACATATCTGTCACAATAGTAAAAATTAAAAGGATCCTAACTTTTTTTTTTTACAGTAAAAAGGATCCTAACTTTGTTGGACTAAAAAACAATCCAATTAAGCAAAACACAAATTGAAGTGGGTTGTGCATAATTGCTCTGGTCATTTGTGAGCGCTTAACTGGTGGAGAGACATATGCAGACCAAGCACAGAGAGGACGGAAGCGTGAATAGCAGACGCGGGGAAGGAAACTTTGTGGCGTGCAAATGCGAGCCAAAACCCTTCCTCCGATGCATTTTTTTTTGGGCTCCTTTCTGGTGGTGGCCGCCTGCCTGGTCTAGCACGGATTGTCATTTTGTGAGCAAGAATTCATTTTGGAGTGTTCAATTCTTGCTCTTTGGCTATTTTGTTCCGAGAATTGCTTTCCTGCCCCAATTTTGGTGTTAAACGTGTAAAATGATTGTCGGAGATGTGCTTTACCTGTGCTGCTTTCTAGCGTGTGGACGGCCTGCCCATTCCACAGCCCACAACAATAACTTGTATGCTCACAACGAAACGTGGGATAATTATATATAAAAAAAAAACAGCTCTGTTTTTCCCTTTAGACCAAAGTCGGCCATATATGGGTTCAGTTCAGATCCATTCTTACAGTTAATATTCATATTCCCCCTTCCTCCACTCGTCCATTCCCCATCCCAGAGCAGAGCCAAGCTCGCAGATCACCCACGCAGCCCTGCACCAATACGCCAAACTCCGACCCACGTGATCAAATTTCCCCAATTCCCCTCTCCATAATAAAACCCATTTCTCTGCTGCAGCCCTTAGCTCTCAATTCTGATCTCTACCTCCCAAATTCAGCCCTTGATCGAATCGAAGTAGACTTACTTTGTAAGATGGCAGGGGAAGGCAGGGGATCAGGAGCAGCAGAAGGAACAACCCTTTTCTCTCCGTACAAGATGGGCAAGTTTAGCCTCTCCCACAGGTCAGTTGGGAAAACATTTCTCCATCTCCACTTGCTTTTACTTCGGTCAATCCCGGCGGCGACCGCCGCGGCGGAGGAAGAGATTGTAACAAACACTTTTTTGTGTGTGTGTGTGTGTGGGCGGCGCAGGGTGGTGCTGGCTCCGATGACGAGGTGCAGGGCGCTGAATGGTATACCGACGGCGATGATGGCGGAGTACTATTCCCAGAGATCCACTCCCGGCGGCCTCCTCATCTCCGAAGGCACCAGCATCGATCCCACCGGCCCGGGGTAATTCCGTCATTTCCCAAATCTCTTTGTTTTTTTTTTCCCCCTCTCTCGTCTCGTTCCACTCATACGAATACGATCCATTCCCCCACTCTTCAACTTTTTCTCTCTACTGTTTCTCGGAACTCTCATCATTCCGTGCTTGGAAAAACTTTCTCGAGAAAGAAAGAGAGAAAGAACCGAGGAAAAGGTCAAAAAGTAGAGTTGGTGGAGGAGGACGTGGACAGAGAGTGACTCGGCTATAGTAACACCCACTAAGACTTGACCCACACGAACCACCAATGGGTATCAAATAAATAAGTGGACGGGCGGGGCCCACTGCGATTATTCTATGGGCCTTGGTCCATGGGCTGGATCTTGTTTATTTGCGTCATTGGGATTTGTGGCCCATTCATAAATAGGCCGCTCTAACCGATTATAGCAGGCCTCCACTCTCTTTTAACTTGCAGCCAGCAATCATAACATTAGTCGGTGAGCTGTTGATGCATTATTCTAGCTTTTATCCAAAGCTGTTGCACATGGAACTAATCATTATACACTTACTTACCAGTTACCTGAACTCCTTTTAGTGGTTGTAGTTGTTTTTGTCGACCCGTTTATGGTTATCCTAACCATTCTGTGGGAACATGCTCACATGTGCCCAGAATTGTTGGATCGTAGTTGTTTTTGTCGATCAGATTATGGTGCTCAACATCATTATGTGAGAACATGCTCATAAGTGCACGGATCCGTTAGATCGTGCGCGGAGGTATTGCTTCGACCGATCGCACATGATCTAATGATAATGCGCGATTGTGAGCGTGTTCTCACATTGCTGGTTGTGAGAATTGAACCGGGAAAATTGTTAGATGTGACTCATAGTATTAAGTACTAGATTTTTTCCTAAGAACGAATCTCAACAACACTAAAGAAAGGCCAAGCCCTATGGTGTATATAGTTGTAGCAGCAACTCATCAAAAAGCTACTTACATATAGTTCAATCAAGTTTGTTTATGTAAATCCCGGCATATAGGTGCACCCTTAAATGAACTCAATCATGACTGAGTCGTGGACTTTTGCCTGATGCAAGTTCAAGCAACGATAATTATGTAACTTTAACTGTAAAAATTTGGATGGTTTTAATGGAATGGGATGGCAGGTTTCCTCAAGTACCTGGGATTTACTCGGAAGAGCAAGTGGACGCATGGAGGAAAGTAGTGGATGCAGTTCATGCCAAAGGGAGCTTCATCTTCTGTCAACTCTGGCACGTCGGCCGTGCCTCACATAACGGTACTACAGTTTTAGCAACCCCCTGATATATTATGCAGGCCATTTTCTCTTCACTAACCAAACCCTAAACCTGATCTTATGTTGCATGCAAAAATCCTAGTTTATCAACCAGGTGGAGCTGCTCCGATCTCATCCACCAGCAAGCCCGTGTCCAAAAGGGGCAGAATCCTGATGCCTGATGGAACCTGGGCGCCTTACCCTACCCCTCGGCAGCTGCAGACCTCCGAAATCCCACTCGTCGTCGACAGCTATCGCAAGGCTGCTGTCAACGCCATTAGAGCAGGTACTTGCCTACCCTTTCATTAACACCTTTCTCATTAATCGTGGTCGAGGATGATAACACCTATACGAGATAGTTTTGGACCTATTTTGTTTGACCTGTTTACCTGTCCCGTAGGAGGGATAGGGCTGATATTGATGCGCTCATCGACTTGACCTGTCACATCCCGCTTCATATTTGTCTCATTTTTGCCTACATATATTGAACTCAAATTACTTTGAATTTTACTCTTATTATCTTATATTTTAGTTATTACAAAGTTGCATGAAAACCTCAATTTTTTAAATAATTTAACTGAATTTTTCATGTTATAGTTTTTTTTTCTTACCTTTTTATGAAAACAAAAACAAAATTTCTAATATTTTCCCTTTACATTACATGCCTATATTGTCGATCGACCTACCTCGTACTGCGACTCATGATAAACTCGATCTGATCCAACCTGCACGAAGCAGGTGTGGGTACTCTCATGAACCTGACCTGCCCTAACCTGCCCTATACTTGACCTATTTTTTTAAATTATACGTAATTGTTCTCAATTTACTTGGAACTTTACTTTTATTACATCATATTTGATCTACAATAAATTATAAATGTATGAGAATCTCGGAATTTTTCAATTAATTGAACTACATTTATTAGGAAAATTTACATAACCCATATGATTCACCGACATAAATTACACTTCAAAATAAATTATGCGACCTATCACAAAGCAAGTATGTGTATCGAGATACTTGCGGACCATCTTGCTACACTGCCCTTACTACCAATACTCATTACATTTTGCAAACCATCTGTACAGGGTTCGACGGCATCGAGATCCACGGCGCCCACGGCTACCTCATAGACCAGTTCCTGAAAGACGGCATCAACTACCGAACCGACAACTACGGCGGGAACCTCGAGAACCGGTGCAGGTTCCTGACGGAGGTGGTCCAAGCCGTGGTCTCAGCCATCGGCGCCAACCGCCTCGGTGTCCGAATCTCGCCCGCGATCGATCACCTCGACGCCATCGACTCGGACCCGCTGAAGCTGGGCCTCGCCGTGGTGGAGAGGCTGAACTCACTCCAACGCCAAGCGGGCTCGAAGCTGGCGTACCTCCACGTCACGCAGCCTCGGTACACGGCGTACGGGCAGGCGGAGTCGGGCAGGCCGGGCAGCGAGGAGGAAGAGGCGGAGCTGATGAGGACGCTGAGGACCAGTTACGACGGCACGTTCATGGCCAGCGGGGCGTACACCAGGGAGCTCGGGATGGCGGCGGTGGGTTCAGGGGATGCGGATTTGGTCTCGTACGGTCGTCTGTTCGTGTCGAATCCGGACCTGGTGGCGAGGTTCAAGGTGAATGCGGCATTGAATAAGTACAACAGGAGGAGCTTCTATACCCATGATGCTGTTGGGTACACTGATTATCCTTTCATGGAGGGAGGAGGTGCAGAGGAAGGCGGCGGTCCATTGATGGCTCGCCTTTGAGCAGGATGACATCCCTATTGTTTATGTAACATGATTGTATGGTATTTCTGATGTAATAAGAGAGCAACTGGCTAGCTAGTGTTGATTTTGTTAGCCCAACCAGGAAGTTGATTCATGGCAACTAATAATGTCACGCTGTGAACATCGGAATAAAAAGTTATTAAACCCCTCTAAATGAGAGGGGGGCAAAGGGGATTGAGAAAAATCATGTACTTTATTCAGTGTGTTCTTGTATCTATTTATACTATACCATAAATTGTAATCGAATAGTTATTAAGATATTGAAAAGAAGGTTTTCAAACCACGCTTTGCTAGTGTCCAATCTTCTTTTTTTTGGTACAAGCTTACATCTTCATACGGAGCCAAGCGCGTAAATCAAACCTTAGCATAGCATAGCACTAGAGGCTGCCAATACGAGGGCCTTCCTTGACACCAAGTGGGCAACTCTGTTGTTTTGCCTACCAACGAACTGAACCAGATAACCCGGTTAAATGTGTCGGAAAGCCCTGATCTCACGGAGAAGCACCCCACCCTTCGCATTCAACGCACACCACGCATTAACCTTGTCAATGATAATCTTGGCATCCCCCTACACTTGCACCGAGTCCCAACCATTCTCAATGTAACAATAGAGAGCTTCCCGGAGGACAACTAACACCACCACGGTCCGATCAAACACCCCTTCCAAACGTTCGCCTTTAGCCATCATAACAGTCCCAGTTGCATCTTGAGTAATAATCCCTATTGCCGCATGGGAATCACCACTCATTGCTCCATCAAAAGAGCAAACCAACGCTGAGGGACATCCTAGATCCATGACCGTCGCTTGTCCGGTTAGACCACTCCTAACACCCATCTTCCTAGACCTGATAGGCAAGCTGCTTCTAATGCATCGAAATTCTGACTTGTTTAAACTCAAAGACCACCCATATTTGTGCTTTCCAAATGCGCCACAACACTGCCACAATCTTACAAACCCTCTCCAAGGATGTAGCACACTCCAGAACCCGACGAAGGAAGATAACAAAATTTGACTTATCTAGTCAGTCCGCGAAACCCCGAACATCGGCCGCTATCCACAAAGCCTCTGCCACCAGGCATAGAAAGAAGAGGTGTTCCATCATTTCCGAACTCGCCCAACAAACTGGGCAACGAGTCACAGCCTCAACTTTCTTTTCTAGCAGAGCCTCCGTGGTCAGTAAGATGCGACTAAAGATCTGCCACGAAAAGAAGTACTTCAGCTTAGGTTGCACCTGGAGAGGCCAAATAGTTACCCAAAGCTTACGATCCATCCATCTATAATAAGCCCGAAAAGAGAGAGATTGAAAGAGAGATCAAACAATAAGCCTGAGAAGAATAGCACATAAATCTGCCTTGTTCAAGTTCAAAGTAGAGGAAAAGAAAAACTTTTATGCGACTTCTCCTTCCATAGAGTGGTTTTGCTTAGCCGATCGGAAGGAAATAACGAAGATCTAAGTTGTGAGAATAAAATTAGAAAAGTAACTGTCATGTAGGGTGTGGAGGAGCTTTTCAGCTGCGGCTTCCGTCGTTGCTGTACCCAGAACACAACAATAGATTTCATGATCGACGTGGTTATTTTGTTCTTGCCTTATGGAGGAAGGGTTGGATGTAGGGATGACAATGGATAGGGTCGGGTGCGGGTTTACCCTATACCAACTCCTAAGCCGCCGGGTAGAGCCTTCTAAAATACCCGACCAAATAACCACCGGGTATGAAAATTATATAACCATACCCTACCCACCGGGGAACCACGGGTATTCGGGTAACCATGGGTACGAATCCTAAACTATGAACTTATACACATATATGCACATAATAATTGTTCTTGCTTCTACAATCCACACAAACATTATAATTGTCTACATCTTCATCATCAATAATGGTAGCTAAACTCAATTTCTCAAGGGAAATTGACCCTTTGGTTAGCGGGGCGGGTATTATCGATTACCATACCCGTACCCTACCCTTTATTTTGAAACCGGATATTACCCGTACCCGCCCTTTAACCCGTCAAAGCGGGTAATTATCCTCGTTGACCGGTTACTGTCGGGTAGGGTACCCATGGTTACGGGTTGGATTGACATCCCTAGTTGGATGGATATGAAGAAATATGGAATGAGGAATGAGGAATGAGGAATGAGGACTGAGGAGGGAAGAGTTTTCTTGGGAAAGAAAAGAAAAGGATATGAGAGAGAGAGAGAAATACGTTACATGGGATGAGAGGGAAGAAGGGGAAGAGAGGGAAGAAGGGGAAATGATGATGGAATATATTTTCGAAAAAGAAATAAGAAAATATAAAAATAGTTTAAATGTTATTAAAATGTTAATTAATTATTATAAAAAATTCTTTTTAAGAAATCTCAACTGATTGGACACTAACAAACAATGGTTTGAAAATCTTCTTTTTAATATCTTAATCGATCAAATACTCATTCCAACTCGACCAAATCAAAATCCACGACCACCATCCACTTTACCATAAGAATGCGCCCGTGTGCATCTAGTTATCACCATTGTCTTTGCCCGAAGCTTCCTTGGCACAAAATGTTTATTTTAGTTGACCTGTTACTCAATATGAATGGAGTTGGTACGAAAAAAAACTCTTTTATGAAGGGTTGAATATGACTTTGCCTGGTACTCGATAATGTGTATTATTTTATTTAAATTTATCGTGATACTAATATGAATTCAACTGGTACTGAATTATATACTGTGAGCACCATAGCAAAATTGCCCCATATACCGTGTTTGACATATTTACACTACATACCAACTTCCGTGCTTTTTTTGCAACTGAAGGGAAAGTGGACAAACTAGCTAGGCCCTCTTTGCTTACCACTCCTAGTGGCTTAGCTAGATATTTCTGTGGCTTGCTGTAACCACACATTGGTGAGACATTGGATAGAAAGCTTAGCAACAAGTGGAAGTGTGGAGCCATACATAGATAAAGTTGAGATCGCTGCTGGCCGGCCGACATAGGATGGGCCGGAGATAAAGAGATAGGCGTCTTCTGGTTTACTCTTCTCAAGTTCTTACCCGTAACCGGGTAAAATAAGCAAACAAAGTATATACAGTACTGAAGCCATCAAGTCAAGGGATGGATAGACGTGGGCCGGGGGAAGCCCATAAATGGTGGAGGAGAGGATGGGGGAAGGGAATTCACGACGTCCACTCACTTGGATGATGAAGAAGAGATGAGATTATGTGGGGAGGGATATGATATGGCTTCTTATTTTCAAATCGGTTTGTTTTGTTTCGGGGCCGGCAGCCGGGGACAAAAATGGCGACCTTGCAGAGAGCTCTTTATTAAGTTTGTTTGTGAACTCTCTCCCTTTATTAGCTTGCTAGATTGTCTTTTTGTGGCCACCATGTGCTAGCTTATGGACCACTAACGGCTTAATTTACACTGCGCAAGAGTGTGTGCATGGTGGTTTTACGTACATATATTGTTTCAAAATCGTCTCCAGCCTCTTTAGCCTTGGTATCATTTTCACTGTCCGTTTACACGTAAACATAGACGAAAACATATTTTAGCTATGTTTTGCACAATAATAAGAGTTAACATAAATTAGCAAATATCAGTGAAACTATTTTAACTAGCTTCCTTGTTGTTTTACAAAAAACTGTACTTCATGTTATGCTACAAATTTGTGTAACTATACATTTTTATGTACAAATAAAATTTCCGTACAAATTTCGTACAAACTGAACTTATTTATTTAAAGTTATAGTATAAACTCAGTTCGTACCCAGTGGAGGATACATGCATGGTTCCTAAAATTTGGAAACACGATTATTCAACCTACGATAGTAATTTGTGTATGAGAAAAAAAATGTTTAAGTGGCAGCAAGACACCTTTAAAATTTGAGAAAATGATTATCCAATCTCCCGTAGTAGTTTGCGTATTGGTATAAATAATATTTAAGTAGTAGTTTATGTGATTTAAATTTGGGACACTACCACTATGGCACTATTAGTTAATATATTTTCAATTACGCTACAACTCATATTGTGTTTTAGATCCAAATATAATAGTTAAATGTTATTATTATCTCAAATTATTTTCAAAACCTAACGATTAAACTCATTTACGGGATTAAGATATGTCGAGAGATATTTGTTGAGTAGTATAAACACCGAATGCATTTTATCATTTAATGAAACTTTTATTAGTTAGATATTTTTCATATTTAATAATTATTTAAATGAATTCTAATATTTAATTTTATTTAATTTTTTATAGTGAACACCACTACATAGAATTCCTGGATCCAACACTGTTCGTACCTATATATTTTCGTACAAATTACTTTATAGTATATATATATATATACACTATTTCACCGATTCCTTTCGGCATGAGATATTTTTCACAGCAAAAGTATCTTCGGGTTTGGGAGTTGCAAAAGGGCAAAAAAAGAGCCTTCTTGTCTTCAACCTCCCTCCCTCACGTCAAGACACCGCACCATCACATGCACCCCATAACGTTACCGCGGCCATAGCTAAGCTTACTCCTCCAAACCCTGTCCTTTACTTTCTATCCCTTCCGCGAAATCTTCAGCGTCGTCTCAAAAAAAATGAACGATCTAGATGATCATTACGTAGCCAGGCATATCCCTTGGAAATCCAGCCTATATAAACCCTACCCCGAAACCCTTCCTTTTCACCACCACCGCTCTACCTTCTTCTTCTTCTTCTTCAACCTCCAATATTCCCTCAATATGAACACCAACCTCGCAATGCTGCCTCTCCTCTCCCTCCTCCTCCTCCTCGCCGCCTCCCCGGCCGCCGCCTTGGTCCAGGACTTCTGCGTGGCCGACCTGAAATCCGCCGACACGCCCGCCGGCTACCCGTGCAAGTCGGTCACCTCCGTCACCGTAGAAGACTTCGCCTTCGCGGGCCTGGGCGCCCCCGGAAACACCACCAACATCATCAAGGCCGCGGTCACGCCCGCGTTCGTGGGCCAGTTCCCGGGCTTCAACGGGCTGGGCCTGTCCATGGCCCGGCTGGACCTGGCCCTGGGCGGGGTCATCCCGCTCCACACCCACCCGGCCGCATCCGAGGTCCTCTTCGTGGCCCAAGGGACCATCTGCGCGGGCTTCATTTCGTCCGGGGCCAACAAGGTCTACTTGAAGTCGCTCAACAGGGGCGAAATCATGGTTTTCCCCCAGGGGCTGCTCCACTTCCAGTTCAACTCCGGGAAGGGACCCGCGCTCGGGTTCGTGGCGTTCAGCAGCCACAACCCGGGCTTGCAGATCACCGATTTCGCGCTGTTCGCCAACGATTTGCCGTCGGAGGTCGTGGAGAAGGTCACGTTCTTGGATGATGCCCAGGTGAAGAAGCTCAAGGGGGTCCTCGGTGGCAGTGGCTGAACAACATTTCGTTTTTTTTTTTTTTGTGTGTGTGTGTGCAAGTTATGAAATGAGCTAGTTGGGAATGGAGTAATTGCATGCATGTGTGCTTTCTTCTTGTTGTAATGTCTTTTGCCGGCTTTTCTGATTATCTGTTTGTATTCCTTTTGTTCCATTCTGATGACATTTGTTGTAGTTCTTGAATTGCATTTGGTCGACATTGTTATGGTTGACATTAATAAGCTTCAAATAAAGATAAGAAAAAGGGTGGTTTGACAACGTGTCCTAATAATACGATTTTACTAAAAAATTGCCTGTGCAAGTATATAAGTAAAAAGTGTAAAAGTGAAGTGTATATTTTCATGATAGTATTAGTCTCACATGCATACTTCATTTTTTCACACAAATTTAGTAGTCAATTTGAAACGAGTTTACTCGTATTAAAGAGCCAATGTCTTTCTTTCTTTTTTTCACAATAGTTAAAATTTTCCCACGACAAATATAGTATATTTATCTTGGTGGCCTCGTAGGTCATCAACTCATCATACTTGGCAAAGAAGATTTTGAATAGAGAGATTGGACAAAGGAGAGATTTATGCTGAAAATTTATTTAATAAAAAAAGAAGATAGAAAGTATCTATAGGGAACTCTAAGTAACGCATGACAGAGAATAAAAAACAGTAAAAATATCCGTATACACTAATAATTGACAATTTTGATTTAACTAGTTCTCTTTCATACATGTGATTTTCTCTTTTGGTAAATATTATATATTTGTCACGTAGGTCAACACATGCAGGGGCGGATCCAGGGGTGGCCACCTCGGGCCACGGCCCAACCCTCCTCTGTATCAGGAACTAGTATAGCTCTTATGCATTTATCGATTTTAGTCATTCGGCCCAGTGTTATTTTATAATACAATTGTGTGTAATTAGGAAAATGGTATGATGAACATATTCAAATAATAACTCTAAATTTAGTCTAGAAATTCTAGCTCAAATGAGTCTCGTCTAAAGAAAAACAAACAATGAAACCTAAAATTCTAAAAGTCTAAAACGTAAAATGTTAAAAGAAATATGAGATTTGTTTACTTGAAAATCACTAGAGCAGGTGGTGAAAATAGGGATGGATACACAATACAAATTGATTAGTCAATTGATTTGTCTAGTGTTGACATTGTCCGTTTCAACAGCTACTATGGAGAGAACTTTTTCAACAATGGAACAGGTGAAAAATGATTTGCGCAACAAAATGAGCAATGAATTTCTCGCCGATTGGTTAACTATTTTATTTGAAAAAGAGTAGTATGCGATTAGTATGGATGTAGACTCTTTTATTGATGAATTCACTATATTAAAACATAGACGGGTACAATTGATATTGTAAAAAAATTATAATTTTTTGCGGTATCTAGTTTTCCAATGAAATGCGGCTCAGTGCTTTACTATGTCCTGGATCCGTCGCCGAATACATGGATTCTCTCTGTCCTTTGCGCGTTTGAATTTGGCCCATTCTGGACTATATGAGTTTTATTAAAAAATTATTGTTTCTATCTTAACCTCAGTTAAAGCATATTTACTTACTAATGTAGCTCTAACTAGCGGGAGCTACCATTAATCATGTCATGCTCACCATTAAAAGTGATGAAATGAAAGGACAAGCAGGAAACTAGTCTCTTTAGGTAACCACATAGGCCCAAACGAAAGTCCAAAGCCCAACTGTGAACGTGTCCGCTTCTACTTTTCCTAATCTGGATTGGGCCGGACTCTAGTACGACGGTCCACAAATATGCCCAAATTGGTCTCGACAGGGATCCAACAATACTTCAAAATAAATAAGAATAAAATTATTTTTCGAAGCCGGTGTCCGATTCCTATAAATACGGCGAATGAGGGGGCGAAAAAATGGAAAAGAAAAGTGGTTTGAGAACGCCCAGATTCGAACTCATACAAACGAAAGAGACAATATAGCCAAACAAAACTCCATTAAAAAGCAAACCAGACGCAATTTTCATTTCTCGATCACCATTATTTGGCGTTGAAAGCAAAAAACCCACCGGCGGCATGAGTCTCTTCGGCCTCGGCAGCAGGTAATAGCATCAGCTTCTTCCTTTTCCTTTCTCCCCGATTTGGGCCGGTTTTGATTTGATCCCCAGATGCATGTTTCAATCTGGTAGTCTCGTTCTTGTTTGATCGTAGTATCGATTTTTTTCTTAGTCTTTTTTTTTTAATTGGACGCGTACATGGGTCTTTGTTGTTGAGGAAGAATCCACAGTGTGAATTATTTACCCATGGCGATCAACCGGCCAACTGCTCTCTCTCTCTCTCGCGCGCTTGAATTCTATGGTTGTGCTTCCCCCATTAATTTTGAGTCTTAGATCATGGAATTGGAATTTTTGAACCTCTGGTGTCAGAAGATTTCCCTGTCATCCCCCCCATTATACCCATTTTCAGGACCTTCTTATTCAGAATAGATCATGGCTTTTTTCCAGCTTTCCTATGTTGATTCGATTTCCCCCTTTTGTTTTACCTTGGCCTTCATTCTTTTTGTGTTCCTTTGGCTGCTAATTCGATGGAAAAAAGATGTAGCCTTAAAAAAAAATTATGGCAGCACCCGAATATGCCACCGGAGCTGTGTGTTTGCTGATTTAATGTTGGCTAATCCTGCAGCAGCACCTTGAGGTCCATGTCTGTCTTAGTGGTGGGTAGTTTGTATTCGATTTTGTTTTGGAAGATGGAGGTATATGCTTCCTTATCTTCGTATGAAAAACTGTCTTCCTACGGTTGAGGGAGTTCATTCATTTGGCTTTGTACTTGATTCTCGGTATTTTAATTGCATAATGTCTGTCATGCTTACATTGTTGCTCTCCATTCAGCCTCTGACCTGTTTATCTTCTTGAATTGTAATTGTTTTGGTTTTGAAGAAACCAGAGGACGTTTCGGCCTAAGAAGAATGCTCCATCCGGTAGCAAGGTTTGTGGAAGAGTCTGTTCCCTATTGGGGGTATTTTCGTTTCCAGGCAGTTGTTAAGTTTGACTGAATTCCTTCTCAATTTATACAGGGTGCTCAACTTCAAGCACATATTGATGCTACCTTGGGTAGTGGCAACTTGAGGGAAGCTGTAAGACTGCCTCCTGGAGAAGATATCAACGAGTGGCTAGCCGTCAACAGTGAGTTCATTGCCTGGCTCATTTTTTTTCCTGATAATTTGCTTGGATATTGTATTTGGTTATCTTTCCAATACTTGAAACTGCATATCTTACAGATCCATGTAGGAATTGTGAATTTAGGTTTCCTTCTTTCTTCTGGTAGTATTTCGACTTAATTCACGATTTCTCTTTCACTCGCTAGACTTGTTTGTAGGTGTTTAAAATGCAATTTGATATAATCTTTTATCTGTGTAATCTATTTGAATGAAATCTGATTATGATCATTTTGATATTTTGTTGTCCCTATCCTTGTGCTTCAGCTGTGGATTTCTTCAATCAAGTGAACATTTTGTACGACACTTTGACTGAATTTTGTACACCATCCAACTGTCCAACAATGACAGCCGGCTCAAAGTATCACTCTTTGACCCCCCTATGTGAATTCTGTTTGTTGTTTGAATGTAGCATATCACCATTGTATTATGATTGGACATTAACCATATTCTCAATGTTCTTGGGTCTTACTGCTCCTTCTAATTTCTGTACAGATACGAGTACAGATGGGCTGACGGTGTTAACATAAAGAAGCCGATTGAGGTCTCCGCTCCAAAGTATGTTGAATATCTTATGGACTGGATTGAGTCTCAGTTAGATGAAGAGAAGATTTTCCCTCAAAGACTGGGTTAGTAAATAATTTCCTCTACAAGTAAACTGATGTGCTATAGCAAATAGAAGATTGTGGCCAAGTTCTTAGATCATCTGTGGCTCTGTTTTGTGTCCAGGTGCACCATTCCCTCCAAATTTCCAAGATGTCGTGAAGACAATCTTCAAGAGATTATTCCGTGTATATGCCCACATATACCACTCACATTTCCAGAAGATTGTGAGTTTGAAGGAAGAAGCACACCTAAACACTTGCTTTAAACATTTTGTTCTCTTTACATGTGTAAGATTTTCTTAGCACTGACTACCTACAGAACACGTTTTGCATTCTTCCCTTTCTAACTTGGTTGGTTCATCGACAGGAATTTCGACTGATCGACAAGGGGGAACTGGCGCCTCTGCATGACCTTGTTGAGTCCATCCTTTGATCATAGTTTCCATTCGTGTGGAAACTGATTTCTTTTTCTTCTTGTTTTATCTTACTAGCAGGTTTTACAGTGGGTTGAACCATTCCCATAGGACTGCTGATCATGAAACAGCGTAAGAAGTGTTGTGAAACCTGTTAGGCTCTCCTAATTGTTTTGCTGAGGGCACAATTTTTCCTCTTTTTTCATACTGTGTATGTAGCCAGCTGTTGAATTGTTGATAATATCATTGTGAGGTTCCAGAAATACTGTATAGTATAGTAGCTGGAAATTATCATGAACAGGTGTGATAAATAGATAGATGCTTAAAAGTTCTACATACTCTTAGACCATCATTGAGATCTGGTAATTGGACTTTTCCAGTCAACCCACCCTGCTGCAGGCTCTCCTATTTGTTCATCGGCACTCAGCTTTAGCTTGTTTTATCTGAGATTTGGGATTGAATGTAGAAAGATTCGTTTGGATGATTTCTCATACTCGTTAAGGTGCAATCTCGTGCCATACCCTACAAATTTGACTCGGCGTCATGACCCTGAGCCCTTGGCCTTCAGTCACTATCTCGAATGTTTGGCTCAAAGCCTAATTTGATTATTTCTACATGACCTACATTCCTACCTATGATATTTTTTTACAAGTGCTTATACATAAATCGTCATATTTCACAAGAACTAACATAACCAATAGGGCTAATACCACTACAACACTCGAACTATGAAAAAAATGTCACTTGTGTCTTATTCTTTTCAATATTCCATTTATGTCCTGAACTATTTTTCAATTAAAGT